TGATTTTTAAACTTAAAGCGTTATTAACTTATAAAATCATTAATGTTTTCAAATAAAAAACTCAATTTTGATAATTAGATATTTTGGCGATAAACGCATCAATTATGTCAATATTTAAATGTGAGTCAATGGACAAGGGCACCCCGCAATCGCGCGCGCAATGTACCATGCTTGAGCGCGCGAATTTCAGACGCCGTAATAGGATAACTTTAATCGGTTATAATTTGAAAAGTATTATAGCCTCGACAGTTTCGTATAAGAGTTTTCGTCTTAGAATGCTCTCTAGAATCTGCCAGTGAAAGGACATACGACCTTTCTGGGACACCCTGTATATATATATTATATGTATACATATTTATATATATATACAGGGTATCCCAAAACTCGCGGATATCCTTTTAAGTGCGAATTCTTTAAAATATTTGTTTACCTATAAAAATGGTTTACCTATCAGTATTACAAAAATATTCATCATATGAGGTAAATGAACATATGGTTATAAATTCATTTTGACAGTTGATGTAATATCGATCGTAATTGTATTTCTTCAAAAATTTTCGATATTAATTAATTATTTAGTACACAAATAGATTTTGTATATAAGAAAAAGTAATTTCTTAGGAAAAATAATGATAATCTCGGTGTTGATAAGAAAGCCCTCGTAGTACCTTTAACATTTGTCATATCATCATGCTTGAGCGCGCGAAATTTCAGCTATGTGATTAGTCTACTTTAATCGTTACTAATTTAAAAACTATTATAGTCTCGACATTTTCGTATAAGGATTTTCGTTTTAGAATATTCTGAAGAAACCGCACTTAAAAGGAAATCCTCGATTTTTTGAAAACCCTGTATATACTCATTGTGTCATTTTATATTTTACACTTAAATATTTTTAAATCGCTACATTCCATAGAAAAATTTTTCATTTAAGATTTTTATGATTTCGAGTTGGACATTAAATGATAACATTGCTTTCACCATTAGTGTTATCTGAAGATTCATGACATTTTCACTTTTTATTTTATAAAATTATTTATTCCTAATCATTCTAAACTAATATTTTATAATTTAATAAAATATATTTATCCAAATTTATTTTATAATGATGTTATATTTCATACATTTCTTAATTTTTCTACATATGTAGTTATTTCCAATATGAGCAGTTCAAATTTCCATTTATAAATTTAAGCTTATTTATGTTATATCATTTATTATTTTATTATTATTATTTTATCTTTCATAGTTTTAGAATTTTTATTATATTTTATCACACAATTTAAAATACCTT